TAAAAGTAAGTAACAGTATAAACCCCCAAACCAAACCCAATGACATTGAGTCAAATCCAACTTGTAGCGATCCTCTGGGACAGAGTAGAACTGCTCCCTAGGGTTTCCAAAGCTGTAAATCTTTATGGAAGCAGGCTGTCTCATCTTTCTCCCATTGAGTAGCTGGTGGGTTTGAATCACCAATCTTTTGGTTAGCAGCCCAATGTATTAACTACAGCCCCAACAGAGTTCCAATGAGTAACAATACAGTTAAATTTGTTAAATTTGTCAGGTTGAGCATAATATGGCGATGACCCACTCAGAATCATTTTTATACTTTTTCTGTTTCCTAGAGCAGCTTTGTAAAACTGACTACAGAATTACTCTCACAAGGAATGGTTTTACTCAAAGGTCTAACTGCTTTATAGTAAGGCATACTCTGCTGCTGCTTGGAAAATGGGTTGTACAGGGGCAAATACGGGAGTAGAGAGTTCTACTAGGATTCTGTTGCAGAAGTTCAAGGGAAGAAAGGATGACAGGTTGAATATGGTGGACAACAATGGAAACAAAGAAAAACGAATGGATATGAGTCATATTTTAGAAACAGAAGTAATAATGGTTGCTGATGAACTGGACATAAGAGGAAGAAATGTAACACAAAAATAGACTAAACCAGAAAAAGTAAACTTCTTCAACATTAACTAAACAATCCAAGATGCTTAAAGTATTTTGAGATGATGGACATAGTGATTACTTTACCCTGCAATACAGCTTGATTAAAAATGCCCCAAACACAATTAGTAATAAATACTTCTGACTTGATGAAAACCAACTGGCTCTTCTCTGAATGGCTACTAAATTAGTAGGCCTAAAAAAGAAGTTAAAGTGCATAAGTGACTTTTACATGCAAATTTTCCTTTAAGTCATTCCTTCTACTCATTAATAGTTAACACTTTCTCATGACTCTACACTAAGTTAACAATTCCTTTCAAGACCAGGACATCTAGGAAAATGGTTGTTTTAGAAAAGGCCAGTTCTGAATAGTCTCATCTCAAGTGAGAATAACGTAAAATGACGAGAAACTACATTAGATATTTTTCTGTCTTTTTTCAAAATAGAATGTTTTAGTATCTGAAACTTAATCTCAGTCCTTAGACACATGTCTTTAAAAGCAGAGGAGAGGAGAGGACATTTTGAAAACGAACATTTATGGTACTAATTGTTAAATTAGTACATATATGCCCCTCTATAACCCATTTTCCAAGAAAGCACTGAGATGATAACAGATAAGACAGACCAGCAGAATCTTGAGAGGCATTATTGGCCACATGAATTAACCTCACGAAAATCATATCAAGTCCAGAAGGAGACCTGACTCAGAGAGGAAGCTTCTGTATACATTTTGTAAGTTCAAAATTATTAATAATGTTGCTAGTCCTCTTTCACTAATTCTCTTCTTCTTCCAACAAAACATTGCAATCAACTACATCTCCTCTCATACCTTCAGAAATTTATCCTGAGAGGTTTTACTGGTTTTGCATATTCTAAGCAGACCATTATCAGAGTCTTTAGATAAGTTTGCCAACTCTCAGAACTAATTTATTCTATATTTTAGTTAGTTAGTTCATTATGCTGTATTATATAACTGGATTAAGAATCTATGGATTTGCAGACTCATTGTTCTGACCCAGACAATCAAACAGCTGTGTTACTGAGGTCAAATTAATGCTGATTATAACCTTCAATTTTATCAATGCAGAATGGGTAACTGTTTAAATGCAAATGAATGTTTAAAGACAAATACAAATTCCTTTAAGTCATTCCTTCTACTCATTAATCCCTAACACACTTTCATGGCTCCACCCTTAGTTAACAATTCCTTTCAAGACCAGAACATCTAGGAAAATGGTTGTTTTAGAAAAGGCCAATTCTGAATAGTCTCATCTCGAATGAGACTAGTATAAAACATTGAGAAACTATATCAGATATTTTTCTGTCTGGTTTCAAAGAGGATATTTTAGTATTATATTTAGTAATATAATACTGATATTTAATGTGTGTGGCTGTAATATCAGTATAATAACTGCAGTTGTTTCCTATAATTAATTTGAATGTTTTTCCTCATAAAATTGGTAGATAGCATGAATTAACAAGTAATCCAATGATCTTAAAGAAAAAAAAAAATGATTCTAATAGCACCAAAGGAGCTCTGCTAGTGTAGTGCCTAAGGCACTTGACTGCTAACCAGAAGGCTGGCGGTTCAAACCCACCAGCCACTCCTCGGAAAGAAGATGAGGCAATCTACTTCCGTAGTGATACTGCCTTGGAAACCCAAGGAGGGGTCGCTATGAGTCAGGTCCGACTCGATGGCACATAACAACAACAACAACAACAACAATAGTACCAAAGATTTCTGTTTCACAGTCACACAATAGGAGTAAGTGTTGCCCCAGAGTGACTGTGTTGATGTGATCTCTTTCAGGGAACCTAGGAAATGAACTTACTTATTCATTTTATAAATGTATATTGAAACTTTTCTAAATGCAGAGAATTATGCTAATTTCCAGTAACCTCTGTTCAAATGAACTCAGACAAACTGATTTCAAGCCCATGATAAAGTTGTGTTTAAAACTTGCTGCTCAGCAAGAGGCTTCTGAGTAAGTCTCATGGTAGATCTCTCTCTTGGTAAGACCAAAGAATGCCGAGTATTAAGCATAAGGTTGGTTGCAAGACTCCAAACTCATCTAGACAGGTAATAAACTTCCCAGGAGTGGCTGTAAAGTATATCATGCAGTAAAGTGCTCTCTTAATCCAGGTTTGGGGATAATTTTCTTTCTTACTTCAAAGTCACTTTCCCTTAAGAACAGAACATTCTAATTTAACTGTCTACTCTAAAAACAGTTACTGCCAAAAAAAAAAAAAGTATTTTCTTTTGTTAACACCAGTAGAAAGAAAAAGAGAGAAGCTATTGAAATGTAGCCTATACATCATTCCCCAAGTTCTGGTAAACTGGGGAATGATGTTGACGACCATAGATCTCATATACTGCCAGTGGGAGTGAAACAATAGTTCATTGATTATGAAAAATGGTTTAGCTTAATCTGCTAAAGTTGAAGATGCACACACACTATGACCCAGCCTACAGAAATGCATGTACTCAGGGACTAAGAGAAATGGACTGTATATTCATAGTATCATTACTGCTAGCAGCTCCAAACTGGGAATAATCAAAATATTCAACTGTAGTAGAATAGTTATATGAGTAGTGGTTTAGTCAAACAGTGTAATACCACAGATCGACAAAAATAGATAAACTATACCTTTTTTCAACAACATAAATGACAGCTATATATGTGAACTTTGCCATACGGAATACACAGGAATCAGTGTTAGAGATATGCCACGCCATCTTGCATGGCTCTTCTGGGTTCTTCTTCATTCCCTGCTGCCCCACCCAAGATCATAAGTCAGTTAAAGGAAGTCGAAACTGAGCTTCCTGCAAGGAGTGAATTTTAAAAGGCAACATAGCCTCTGATAGGTTAAGACCTCTTCCCCCAGCTCTGATGTACAACCTCCTAACCCAGGTCTATATAAGACCACCCTCTCCCCTGCTCTTTCTCGCTCTTCCTCTTTCTCCTCTTCCTCTCTCTCTTCTTCTTCCTCCTCTTCTTCTTCAGTCCTTCCTCAGTGCAGGCGCCCTTTTGCCTCCTTAATAAAATCTCCTGTTGGGTACCCTAGTGTGTAGCATGGTCGTTGAGTGTCGACGGAGCTCTAACAATCAGAATGACTCTATCTGTGTCAAGAGGCGATGGACAAGTTCAATATCTTCAGCAAAAACAAGGCCAGGAGCTGATTGTGGAAAAGACCATTAACTGCACATATGCATGTTCAAGTTGAAGTTGAAGACAATTAAAACAAGTCCATGAGAGCCAAAATGTGACCTTGATAATATCCCTCCTGAATTTAGAGACCATTTAAAGAATAGATTTGATGCATTGAACACTACTGACCGAAAACCAGAGGAATTGTGGGATGACATCAAGAACATCATCCATGAAGAAAACAAGAAGTCATTAAAAAGACAGAAAAGGAGACCAAAATTGACTTCAGAAGAGGCTCTGAAACTTGTCCTTGAGTGAAGCGTAGCTAAAGCAAATGGAACAAATGACAAGATAAAAGAACTGAACAGAAGATTTCAAAAAGCAGCTCGAGAAGACAAAACCAACAATTATAATGAAATGTGGATAAATTATAGCTACATATAGCAAAGTTAATGTTCAACAAAAGAAGCCATCTGTAAAATATGACATATTGTATAGCTCCATTTATATAAAGTACAAGAACAGGTAAAACCAAATACTACTATCTAGAGATGCTCTGGTGGTTCAGTGCCTAAGACATTTGACTACTAACTAGGAGGTTGGTTGTTCAAACTCACCAGCCACTCTGTGGAAGGAAGATGGGGCAATCTACTTCCATAAAGATTTACTGCCTCAGAAACCCAATGGGTATCATTATTAGTCAGAATCGAGTCGATGGCAGTGAGTTTGGTTTTAGAGTTTTGGTAGAGATGCATACCTAGGTTATTAGATTATAAAGAAAAGCAAGGAATTGAGTACTATAAAGGAAAGAAGTTACAATTGGAGGGTCAGAGAGCAGAAGATAGTGAATGGGACAGGGAATGAAGGGAGTTTCTAGGTGCAACTTATAGTCTATTTTTTGACCTTGGTGGTAATTGCAATGGACTTTTCTATATAATTATTAGATTGTATATTTATATAATATGTATGTGTTCATACATTTCACAGTAAGACAACTTCTCTATCACCAATATTGAGCAATTTCTGTCTTTTTCAGACTAATAACTAACCCAGGACAGTATGTCAAGATGAGACATAGTTAATTATTGAATGTAAGTGTTTATTGCATTCCCCAGCACGGCTTAAACACATATTTGGGTCTCCATCTGTCTCAGCTGTCAACAGTATTTGTTGATCTTTTTACAGCTAGCTCACAAACACATGAAGATCTTTAACACCCCCAACAACTCCAGCACCATCACTGGCTTCATCCTCCTGGGCTTCCCTTGCCCCAGGGAGGGTCAAGTCCTCCTCTTTGTGCTCTTCTCTATTGTCTACCTCCTGACCCTCATGGGGAATGGTTCTATCATTTGTGCTGTGCGCTGGGATCAGAGGCTTCACACCCCCATGTACATCCTACTTGCCAACTTCTCCTTTCTAGAGATCTGGTATGTCACCTCCACTGTCCCCAACATGTTATACAACTTCCTCTCTGACACCAAGGTCATCTCCTTCTCTGCATGCTTTCTGCAGTTCTATTTCTTCTTTTCCCTGGGTTCTACAGAATGCTTTTTCTTAGCAGTTATGGCATTTGATCGATACCTTGCCATCTGCTGGCCTCTACACTATCCAACCATTATGACTGGACGTCTCTGCACCAAGCTTATGGTCAGCTGCTGGGTACTTGGTTTCCTCTGGTTCCTGATTCCTATCATCATCATCTCCCAGATGTCCTTCTGTGGATCTAGGATCATTGATCACTTCCTGTGTGACCCAGGTCCTCTGCTGGCTCTCGCTTGTATCAGAGCCCCTGCAATAGAGTTGACTAGCTCTACTTTAAGTTCTTTGCTTTTATTTATCCCTTTTCTCTTCATCGTGGGATCCTACACTTTGGTCCTGAGAGCTGTGTTGAGCGTCCCTTCAGCAGCTGGTCGAAGAAAAGCCTTCTCTACCTGTGGATCCCATCTGGCTGTGGTTTCACTTTTCTATGGCTCAGTGATGGTCATGTATGTCAGCCCAACATCTGAGCATGCAGCTGGAATGCAGAAGGTTGTGACGCTGTTCTACTCTGTTGTGACTCCACTCATTAACCCTGTGATATACAGTCTGAGGAACACAGATATGAAACACGCAATGAAGAAATTATTAGGAATATGAAAATTAGAGTTTTAGTTAAAAGGATATTGAGATGAAGAATTTGTTGTTAACTTTTCCTGGTTAAAAAATAAAACTAACTGGTATCACTCAGAAAATTATCCATATTATTTTTGAATGTTATATACCATATATTGTTTTTATATTTCCTAAAATGTATAGGACTACAAGGGATTTCAAAAGTGTACTCCAACTCCTTAATGTTATATGTGATAGCGCTAAAGATTAAAGACAAAAAATTTGGTGAGTTATATGAGGTCATAACCTTAGGGCAAAATCAAAGTTTTCTATCACATTTTTTTTTTGTCTTTGCTCAACAATAAATTGTGTTTACTTTTTTGATTAAGTTTATATTTCATAATCCAGAATATCTCATGTTTCCATCAATTATTATAGTCAAAAGTCTAATATGAAAAAAATTAAAATTGTGATATATGCTATGACCAAAATAGATAAGTTTCTGTGGGAGTCTGCTGGGAAATAATGTGTGAAAAGTATGGAGAAGGGAGGTGTGAGACACTATGAAAATGAAACATTTCAGTATGGCTAATTACAGCTCATGGTCCACAGGTTCACCTCAAGGTAAAGATCAGGAGTGCCCACATAAAGGGTCCATGAAGCACTTTAAGAAAGTTAGCCTTAGGTTTTACAACTTACTGCTTCAATTGTCAAGGGGCTGCCTGGGTGGTGCAAACCGTTAAGGGCTCAGCTATTAGCCAAAAAGTTGATCATTCAAATCTACCCAGTAGTGCCTCAGAAAAAAGTCCTGGCAATCTACTTCTGAAAGATCACAGCCATTGAAAACTTCATGTAGCACAATGCTACTTTGATACACATGGAATTGCCATGAGTCAGAATTAACCCCAATGTGACTGTTTTGTTTTGTTTTTTGGGCAAAAGAAGTTTGGCTCTAAAATGTGATAAAAATTCAGAAGGCACGTAAAAGTAAAATATGTTAAAATAAAAATAGATTACTTTATGATACAGATATAAAAACTGATCTTCGAGAGACTGAATTTAGAACAACACATCTGGCACTGAGTTCCCTTAGAGTAGAAGCCATAAGAGCTGGAACTGCTTCAGCAATTTGCCTGCCCTTTACATAAAACAAACAAACAAAAAAGCAAAATAACAAAAACCTTACTGCTATCAAGTCAATTCCAACTCATAATGACCCCCATTGGGTTTCCAAGGCTATACATTTTTGCCCCATCTTCCTTCTGAGGAGCAGTTGGTGGGTTTGAACCATCAAGCTTCTGGTTAACAGCCAAATGCCTTACTCACTTCACCACCAGAGCTCCTTGCCTTTTCATATAGCTCCTTTTATATCTCAAAGTAAAGGTCAGCTTTTTTCATTCAATACATATCACTACATATTCAATACAATATAATAATTATTTTTTGCAATGAAAATGTCTTGTCTTATTATTTATGCAAAACTGACTCATTGTAAATATTTTAAAAATAATAGAGAAAAATATGAAGAAAAACAAATTACCCAAAATTCTACTGTCTTAAATACCATTAAATTTTAGGTGCCCATAGTGGATAAGGCATCTGGCTGCTAAACAAAAGGCCAATGGTGCAAACCCACCAACTTGCTCTGCAGAAGGAAGATGGGCCAAAACTGTATAGCCTTGGAAACCCAATGGGGGTTGGTATGTGTTGGAATCGACTCGATGGAAGTGAGTTTGGTTTTTGTTTTGGATCTCCTCAGATATGTCTATGTGGATATGTATATATACATATTAAATACATAGATTTACATATATGGTCATGTATATATACATGTTAGATAGATACATAGATACAAAGATAGATAGATAATAGGTTGATATATATGATCACAGGAAACATGATGTTTCTATACAAGTCACCTTTCTTTCCTCTTTCTGCCTCCTTTCCTCAATTCTCCTCTCTCCAAAACCACCTCATACCCTAGCTACATAAACAATATTAATAATGCATATTCTTTATTATTCTCCATGTCCATATAATTTATAAGGAGCTCTGTTGGCACTGTGGCTTAAGCATTGGGCTGCTAACCAAGAGGTCAGCAGTTCAAACCCACCAGTGGCTCCATGGGAGAAAGATAAGGTAGTCTGCTTCTGCAAAGATTTACAGACTTGGAAAAACCCAGTGGGGCAGTTCAACCCTGTCCTATGGGGTCGCTATGAGTAGAAATCAACACAATGGCAATGGATTTTTGGGTTATACATATATGAAGAGCCTTTATCTTGAGTGGTTAAAGTGTTTGGTTGGGGACCAAAATGTTAGCAGTTCAAATCCATCAGCTGTTCCACAAGAGAAAGATGAGGCAGTTTGCTTCACTAAATATTTACAGCCTTGGAAATCCCATGAGGCAGTTCTACTTTGTCCTATAGAGTTGTTATGAGTTAGGATTGACTCAACAGCAGTGAGTTTGGTTTCTGGATTTGTTATACATATACACACACTTTCAGACACCTATACATATTCATGCACACATAAACACTTATACACATATACAGTCATATAAATTTGGATTTTGCCAATTGTTTTAAAATATGGAAACATATAATGGAAACTTCTCTGTACTTTGCTTTTTTCACTTAACATTCCATTGATGGATTCCTTCAAAGCCAACTAGTATAGATATCTAACTCATTCTTATTTGCTTATTAATAGTTCATTTACATTTACTCAACTATTTCCCTATTTAAATGCGTTAACTTCATTTCCTGTCTTTTTATCCTATAAACAATGATATAATACACATGCAGCCACTCCTCAGAAGGAAGGTTGAGCAATCTACTTCCATAGTGATACTGCCTCTGAAAACCCAAGGAGGGGTCGCTATGAGTTGGATCTGACTCCATGGCACATAACAACTGTGAGTCAATCTGAAGCCAGAGTTTTAGTAGCCTCCAGGAAAATCTTTAACCAGAAACCTTTTAGTGTCAGCAATACTAACAGGACTTTTGGAATTCTAAACACTCCTTAGGGCCTTTATCTGTCCTCCAGTCTCAGCAGGTATCAAGGAACTTCCTCCGAACTCAGTACGCATCACAAAAGCCATCCGGATTCAGCACGTATCGGAGATCTGCTCGGCTCCTGAAAGTCTCCCACATACCTGAGCCTTGCATCCTCCCTAGATAATATTTTCCTAAATGGACTTTGAAGCCGGGGGGTTTCTTTACGTCCCCCAACATCTTAGATCACTGCCCTAAATTCCTTAGCAACAACCAATCATCTGTATCCTCTTGCCCTGGTGCTGCTCCACTCCATAATTTTCCATAAATTTGTGAATATACCAGGGCACGGGGTCTTTTGCTCAAGCCACTGATCTGGTAAGGGCAAAGACCCTAACTTAAGTTAGCTAATAAACTTTCCTATTGCTTTTGCATTGTCGTGTGTTGACATATTCCTCGCCGAGCAACTCCTTCATAACCTGAGCACAACACAACAACATATGGATATGTATATGTGTATATTTACATTTTTATTTTTGTGGGGTTGATTCTCAGTATATTTCTGGATCAAAGACTAGTGCATATAATAGATAATGTCAGATTGTTTTCACTCAAGGCTATATATATTCACATTTCCACCAGGAATATGAGTATCATCACTTTAAATCCTACCAATCTGGTGAGCCAGAAGAAATAGCTCATTAATAATGTCACGGACACTTCTTGTATTAGTGATAAGATTGAGATTTTTTTTTTCTTATGTCTTTGGCCATTGGAATTGCCACTGTTACAACTTTTCTGTTAATATCCTATTCAGCTTTAAATTATTTACATTTTTTCTAAGAAATCTTTTCTCAGAAAGAAGATGGGCAATCTACTTCTGCAGTGATACCATCTTGGAAACCCAAGGAGAGGGTGCTATGAGTCGAATCCGACTGGATGGGAGTGAGTTTGATTTGGTTTGGTTTGGTAGAAATCTTTTACAATTTAGAAATAAACTTTGTCATATGTATTACATGTTTTTCTCTAACCTGTTGTTTGTCTTTTGATTTTATTTATGTTATATTTATGAAAATTTAAGGAGCTCTGGTGGCGTAGTGCCTAAGTCATTTGATTGCTAACCAGAAGGTTGACAGTTCAAACCCACCAGCCATTACGCAGAAAGGAGACTGGGCAATCTATTTCCATGAAGATTTACCACCTCGGAAACCCAAAGGGGGTCGCTATGAGTTGGAATTGACTCGATGGCAGTGAGTTTGGTTTTTGTTGTTTAATGAAAATTTGATTACATGTAAGAGAATATTTTTGTACTAAAATCCAGACATTCATAAAGAAAAAAGACAGATTAATTTGGACTAGCAGAAGAGGATTCTCCCAAAGTCTGCTTCACAAAAACAGGAAAAGCTGGAACAATTGGGTTATAAAAAGGCAATTCTCAAGTTTGTGTTAATTCTCATTTAACAAAAGATATGACTGAGGGCAAATTTCAGATCTTGTCAAGTAGGCTGTAGATAAAAGGGTTGGAGATTGACATTACTACAGAGTGCATCCCTGTAATAATGTAATGAATGCCTTCTAACTGAACTCCTAGATTTGAGACTAGGGGAACGGAATAGATATTCTATGATGGGTATGGGTTAGTCAGGACAAAGCAATCAGTGCAGTGGGTCCCCGTCACACAAAAAGTGATCAATAATGTTAAGAAATGAAGAAAACTATAATTACATGTACAAGGACACCGATAGGAATCAGAGGGATACCAGCATGCCCAGAGCCACTCAGTCATGACAGTAACGCAATGCAGAAGTTATGATAACATTCAAAGTAATATTTTAGTACAAACTCAGCCTTAACTGACTAATGATAGAAATTCTCAACAAATTTCAATATATAATTTTCTTTCCAGAAGTACAAGAAAATCCCCTAAGAAAGTGTAGAGCCTGAAAGATCTTTTAACCAGAAGCCTTTAGTATGGAGATTGACATGTCCCATGCTGAGCCCTAATGCCTCCAGGTAGATTGATAGGTCCCATGCTGAGCCCTAATGCCTGTAGTAAATGTCCCATACCTCAGAGCCTTTTATCAGAAATCTGCATGGCTCCAAAAAGCCTCTCACCCACCTTTGAAGACTACG